TAAGATGTACACCAAGGTCATGATTTGCTGTGACAGAAAGTAGCTTCTAGATGACATGCAACGTAAGTTCTGAGTTCTAAGGTAGAAGTTTATGTGAATTCCATTGCAAAGACACAGACATTAATGTAGCTTAGGTTAAAAGTAGTGTCAAAATATCGTTAAGGCTTGTGTTCAATAACTAATATTAACATGACTGCTGTTACAAGTATTAAAACTCATGTCATCAGTAAAGTTGTATTAATACAGCATATACCAAGCAGTAATTTTAACTGTAATTTCAATAAAAAAAATTAAAATTACCTTTAAAAAATGTAATTAAAGTTTTAGATGGCTAGTAGTGCAAAAATAAAGCTTTAAATCTATTAATAGCAAAAAAAAAATCATACATTGATTTCTGTAGGCTGCTTTGAGGTCTTTAAGAAAAGATCCTGAAGAAGTGTCAGGCACAAAGTTTTATCTTAAAACTTAAAATACTCAGAACTACTCTCAGATTTTTATCACCACAAATGGTCATAGAAGATTCATGCTATTCCTGGACCACAACATTATTTGAAATTGATCCTCTAGCAAAACATCTCTTTCACTCTAGCTTACAGCTGTGCTGGTATTTCAGCTCTTGCTGCAGTGAAGCTGCACTGGTATTTGTACAATAAGTTGTACACTTTAAAGTGTTGACTTGCAATGAGGGTGAACAACCGACCTTAATTGATCTGTAGACAAGTATATCTCTATTAGGAGCATTTTTCTATAACACTTTGATCTCTGCTATTTCTGAAGTCTGTTGCTTATCTGGTCCTGTAGGACTGCCCTTTTAAAGTCAGGCAGCTACAGCCTCTTAAAGTAGCCATTGTTCATCTGGTAGCTGCTAGCCATATCTGGTTTTTCAAGTCCAGTGAAAAGTGCCTGCTGTAACTTTGCTGTGAACGTTATTTAACTTATAGAGGGCTTATTAAGAAGTTCTAAATCTTCCCTTTGAAGTCAAATGTGAAACCAGAGAATCTAGCTCTGTGCTAGCAGTGGGGACTTCAGACATCTTAGAAACTGGCTCTGATTTCAGCAGTCTGTGTCATCCTTGGTAAATTACTTTTGCATCCTCAGAAAGAATGTCTGAAACATTCGTAACATCCTTAACTCCCGAAGCTCTTTTTCTCTACCCTTTCCAATTTTTGATTGAAGTATTAGAAGAATTCATATGTTCCCCTAATGTCCAAATCTGGTAAGAAATTAGAATTATAATCCCTTAAATACCATGCTACTAGGATGAGAAAACATTTTTCTAAGGGTTTAAACCACAAATTTCATACTAAAATGAAGTTTAAAAAAAACACAGAAAAACCAACCCTCTCAAGAATCCTCATCAAGCTGCTTAAACACTTAGATTGAAAATGTTACCAGTGTTTGCAGAGCATGGTTTATAAGGAGAGTTGTATGAAGTAACAGTATATATTTTGATGTTCTTATCTTGGTGTGGACAAAACCATGAATCCCCTTTCAGGGGAATTGAACCAGTTTGGTGTTTGTTTTGTTTTTGTTTTTTTAAGGAGGACTTAACTGAAGGCTGAGAATATACAACTGTCATAAAACAAAATATCACTTCTGTACTCTGAACTGAGATGTAGTCAGACTTCAGTCAGAATAATCCTGAATTTAGATGAGCCCAGGTGTGAGCTCTGCACTTTGTTACATGCTATGCTCAGACTCCACATTCCCAATCTCAGCTTCTTTTCAGAGGGTGAGGAATGATTTCTGCAAAATGAGCAGGAGAGAACCCTCTATAGTTTGCTTGTGGGCTGGTCATTGCTTGTTTTGGGAAACTGGCAAGCGGATGTATTGTATAATTGGCTCCTTTTCGGATTGGTAGTGTAAAGCCTCTGTTTCAGAAATAGCTTTTCTCTCTAGAGCATGAGGAAATATTCTCTATGCAGTTGCTTCATTGATGAATTGAGTACTGCAATTACAGTCTCTTAGAGCTAAAAGAATTGTAAGAGGGCCATATAATTAAACCTTAGAATGAGCTGCATGCCCTCTGCGCACATTTTAATGCATTGTTTTTCAGCATGGGTGCCTCAGCAGAGCTCAGCATAGATGGTTATAGAGCACCAAGTGTGCAGCTCTGCATCCTCTCAGTTCCAACACAGGCTGAGGAGCACAGCATTCATGCTGGCATGTAATTTTCCCTAGCAGTAATTTTCCAAATGCACTTCATGTTACACACCATGCAGTTAGGCCTCCCTGTCTTCCAGAACAGCAGAGGCACAGATAAAGGAGGCATATATCTTGGAGAGAAGAAGGAGGGGGGGAAAAAAAAAAAGTGGTTTTACGTCGGAATTCCCGCAGCCACGGTTTCCTCCTTTTCATGGGGATAACGAATGTATTACGAATGCCGCTCGTTTCCCTAAGGACGGCTCGATGCCTCGGCCCACGAGGCTACACCCACGTGGCTCTCCTCACGGAGCCCGGTCCCGGCACCCGTCCGTATGAGCTGCGCATGCGCGAAGGCCGCTGCCTGTCTTCCACGAGGGACGTGGGTGCGCAGGCGCCGCATCCGCAGCGGGCGGAGCACCGAGTGGCTGACAGGGCCGTTCTCGCGAGAGTTGCTGAGGGGACGGCGGCGGCCGCAGCGGAGCAGGCGGAGGGGGAGCCGCGGGACGGGGTTGGAGCTTGGACGGCAACCGAGGCGGCGCTGGAGGGGCGAGCAGGCGGCGAGAAACCTCGGGCGGGGCGGCGGCCCCCAGCGCTGCGTGGTGAGTGCGGGGGGGGGGAGAGGGGAGGGGCGGGGCGGATCGGCGCCGCGCCGCCGATTTTCCCCCCCCGTCCTCAACCCCCTCCGGTGATGGGAAGGCTTTTCCAGGCCTGGCTTCCCGGCTTGCTGAGAGGACGCTGAGCGCTGGCGGAGGGCGGCCCTCTCTATCGTGGCTTGCGCTCCCTGGGGGCTCCGCTTCTCTCCGTGCTCCACGGTGCGCTCCGCAGTGCCGAGGCTGCGGGCCCGAGTCCGAGAGGCGGTGCGTGCTTCTAGGTGAGGCTCTGGCTGGCTGGGCGGCCTGGGCCGGGAGAGGTGGGACCAGATCCTCTGTTGTCTGCTGGAAGGAGTTTGGTCAGGTGCTGCTGTCCCTAGAGGTCTTCAAGGGCAAGTTGGATGGGGCCCTGAGCAGCCTCCTGGTCTAGTTTTAAATGTGGAGATTGGTTGCCCTGCATGTGGCAGGGGGGTTGGAGATTCATGATCCTTGAGGTCCCTTCCAACCCTGGCTATTCCGCGATTCTGCTTGGGTCCCCAGCTGGCCTGAGAGCTGGGTCTGGGGGTGTGTCTGTGGGGGTGTGTGCACGAGGGGAAGGCTCTTGGGATATGTTTTAAACCTTCCACAAAGGGGTTCTGTAGCTTTAGGTCTTTTCCAAAGGTTGAAAGGTTGTGAGGTTGTGACTAGCCCGTAGGCAGGTTAGCATCAATACTTTTCTTTCTTCTAAACCTTTTGAGTCGAGCTTTAAATGTGAGTTTCTAAGATAGCGTTTTTTTCCTTAGCTTTTTCTTTCTCTTCTGAACTTCCTGCTTTGAGATTCAGGGTTGATTTTGTGCAGTTGGCCCTAACTTGGCAATACAGTTTCAAGTAACCTATGGAGGACATCGATACAGCCTTACTAACTCACAACTTCTGTCCTCAAATAGTGTTCTCTTTTATGACATAAGAGAAAGTTTTATGAAATATACTTCATAACTGGGAGAATAATTTGTAGATCAAATACAGTGTTTAGGGAAGTTTGTTCCTTGTTCTAAAAGTTATTAAATGGTTTTCTGTCAAGAGCTGAAATTTGAAGGATTGAAGGATTGTTAATCTTCAAATGCAATGTCGTTTGTAATCCGGTTCTGCACAAGTGTTGTACATTGAGAATTTATGCCCAAAATGGTCATTGAATTGTTGTAATCTCTCATGATTGAGTCATGTAGTGTTTAAAGTATTTCATAATACCAGAGAAGCTTACAGTATTTGAACTTTTTTTATACAATCTAAAATAAGAAAGTGAGAATAAATTTCTGCTAAGCTAATTTTTTTTTTTTACTCAATGAAATGATTTGATCTGATAAATATCTGTGGTTTTTACTGTAGCATAGTTTTGTACTGATATCAGGACTTGTCCTCTGACAATACGTACTTAAGGAAGGTGAAATGTATTAAGCTATGAGGTATTGAGTGCCGAGTGAATATCATTTATTATCCTTTGTGTTCTGGCTTGTATATGTTGATAACTTCTGTTTTACCTGGTTAGTTTGTTTTGTTATATTGTGTTAATTTGAAATCTTAAGTGCAGAGCACTGATTCTTCTTTCTATTCTTTTGTTTAGAGCTGACACTTAACATCTCTGCATGTCTTCCTGATGATGTATCCACATGTTTTTCTTTCCAATACCTTTAGTAATGTTTTGTCCTCTAACAGCTGATGAGGCTTAGACTCTGATTCTTTGCAAAATCTACTGAATCTGTTTTCTTCCTTCCCTCACTTTATCTGTTTTATACTGTTCTACTCCTCTCCATATCAGACTCCAGAGGAATAGTAAAATGAGAAAAATTAAAAGCTCTTACCTGCTATTAAAAAAAAAAGCTATTTGTAGGAGCAGTGTAAGAGGCCTACGTTACCTACATGTTTTTTGAAATATTACTTAAAAAGATCATGAGAATTGTTTCCTGTTGGCTGCAGTGATGAGGTTTCTATTTATAATTACTTGTATTCCTTCCTGATCTGCAGCACTGTATTGCAAATAAAAGTTTGCTGTTAGCTGCATCTGCAGCCTTTTCTTCCTCTTCCCTTTTTTTTTTTTTTTTAAGAGCAAAACTCAGTAAGGCAAGAGGTGGAAAACAGTGATATTCTGAGAAATCTTAGATGATCTTACTTGAGCAGCAGCTGTTAACTCTTGTGATGTGTACTCACTGTGTTCATGTTTTGACTGTGCTTATGTTCCTACTTGTCTTACCCTAGTTAAGCTTATGGAGCTAAGGTTCAGTAGTGTGCAGTGTGTCCTGTTTCACAGCAGTCTGCCAAGAGTGAATGCCTACAGCTGTACTTCCAGTGGGCAGTGACATAGCACAAGACACTTCCACAGTAAGCTTGCTTTTTTCCCCCTTATGCAGTGGATTTCTTCTAACAGTTAATAACAGTTAAAAGATCCTAAGCTTGGATACTGTGCATTTATTTCTGGTAGTTCCAATAGCACAGACAAACTGTTCAGTTGCGGTATTCGTGGCTGTTGACAGCTTTGTTAGTTTTACTGGTGTTTTGCTAGCAGTGTGTAGGAGTATGAAAGAAAGCCCTGAACTCTGTGAACGTGGAGACTTTAATGAGACGTTCTTTGGTTTTTTAAGTGTTCCTTTTTATTCTGCCAGTTTACTGCAGTAGAGATCTTTGTTCTATTTTTTTGTCTCAAGCTTCATCACTACTTATGGAGCTGAAGATTGGACAAGCACGTTCTCTGCTTCGCTGCATTCATGTAAGGCAGATTTCTTTTTTCCACAGAGGAGTTATAATGGTGCCTTTCTGAGTAACACTGCTTTTTCTGGACTGTGACAACAAAAGACTGAATTAGCAGGTGTGTGGGTGAACTGATGTTTGTAAAATCTCTTCTGTTTTGGAGAGTCGTTGACAAGCATCAGCTCTCTGCTCACTCTGCATGGGATTATTTGTGATGGCTGTTAATTCACCATCTTCCTTCTTTCAGTTCTGTTACCTTCTCTGCTATCAAATGAATCTAGGCTTACATTAAATCCTATTCTAACCTAGATTGAGGTTTATATGGAGGTTAAGGAGTTCCAGGGTGTCTGTGTATGTAATGCCAAATTTGGTGTCATCTCTTCTTTGGTGCCATAAGAGATGCTGGACTCAGCGCTGCTTTCACATGCTCCTTCTGGAGGTGTTTGTTACTGTTTGACATACTTGGCTGCTCAAGACAGTAGAGCTTCAGAAAGGTTGCTTTCATGTTAGACTGGGCCCAAACTGTTGTTTATATATAATTTTATGTCACTTTGATAGACACTCCTGTTAAGTGCTCTTACAGAGTATTATGTAAGAATATAGGACTTCTAAGATGTACAGAATTATTCGTTGGCTTGTCTATTAAAATCTATTTAAATCTGTGTAAACTGTGTGAATGGAAGAAAACGCAACGGTAACACTGTGTAAGCTGCGTCTCGAGCACGAGTTTTCCATTCGGGGATCGGAGCGCGCTGCCCTCAGCGGTTCCTGCCCGCCCGCCCCGGCGCGCCCCGCTCTCGCGCTGCCCCCGCGGGCGGAGCCGTCCTCGCAGCCGTGCCGGCAGCCGTGCCTCGCTGCATGGGACCGGACTGTGCCGCACCTCGGGCCGCCGGCTCCTCTTGGTGCCACCCCCGGCCGCCGGCTGCGGGGCCCCATTGGCCGCCGGCCGTGTCACTCGGGGGAGCCGGGCCTGGGCGAGCACGGGCGGGAGGAAGCGGCTGCTGCGCCGCGCCGGGTGGAGGGAGCGGCTCTGGGCGCGGCCCCGGCCATCGATCCGGGCCACTTCCCCTAATGGCGCGGCTCTTCCTCCTCCTCTCTCTCATCTAGGGCGGATCGTCCCCTGGCCTCCCCTGTATGTGAGAGACGGGGCCGGCGCCTCGAGCGGAGCCGGACCGTGGGAGGGTTGAGCCGGGAGCCGCCGCGGGAGGAAAGGAGGCTGCGGGGAGTGCTTCCTTCCTACTGCCCGCACTGCCTGGTGCGGCAGCCCCAGCATGGAAGCCATCGCCAAATACGACTTCAAAGCTACGGCAGATGACGAGCTAAGCTTCAAACGGGGGGATATACTTAAGGTAAGTGGAGGGTAAGGGATTAGGGATTCCCGTTTTTGCCTTCCCCTCTTTGACTTCTGTCTGGTCAGTCACTTCCGGTCCATTGGACCTGACTTTTGCTGGGGACTCAGTGGAGGATTAATAGGGTACCCTAGGGTTTCCTCAAGCCCAGGCTGGCCAGAGCAGATGCTGTTTCCTTTCTGTGTTAACCACGTCCCAGAGTTTTTCCTCCTCTCTTCTCAGACTGTGGAGTATTTGAAAACTTAGTCTGCAAATAAGCAGAAGTACAATACAGTGTACTCTGTGCTGAATTTCATTCCACAGTAGATTGCCCTTTAAAGTAATCAAGATCAGTGTGGTGATCCTTTCCTTTGCCTCCTGCCAAAGATTCTGGTGTCAAGAACAGTGATTAGGTTTCTTTCTTAGTAGATAATATTTTAGCATCAGGCTGTCAAATGTTGGTGCTGAATTTTATCTTCTGGCCTGATGAATGTGAGTGAGTGGCTTTATGTTTAATGAATCTGTGCAGATGTAAGTGGATGTTTGAGTGCATTAGAGGAATTTTGATCTACAGTTCTTTCAATATATCAAAAGCTTTTGAAAACCCCTCTTTAAAGGACTTTGAGAAATAAAAGAATTTCTAAAACTTTATTTGAAATAACACAGAGAACAAGCCCAAAAATTCGGTTGTGGGAAGAGTAAAATGTAAATCTGTAGTGATTTGGCTTCAGTGAAGCATAGTTCTAAGCTTATTTCTGACTAGTAAGAGCTTTTTTTGCATCATGTAATTGAGTTTTATTCAGTCAGTGTTACACCATGATAGTATAAGATGGGCATTTCTTTCCAAGTGTGATACATTTACTATAGAAATATTTTAAGGTGCTGATTTCTAAATTGCTTTGAGTAGAGACTGCCTTGAGTAGTGCCAATTTTGCAGATGTTGGGCTGACTTTGTGCATGTTGACAAATAACTCCTGCAGACCTCAATGGGATTATTTAGCTGCTTAAAATTTTTACCAGGAAAGGGCTTGATTTAGCAGTATTTTAAGATAAGTAGGAAAAAGGTCCTCTACATGTAAACTTACACAGTTCTTTTAGAGTTGGCATTTCAGTAATAAATTATGGAATAAATTATGGCTTTGTTAGAAATGCGGTACTACTGCATGGCTGCAAAAATGCAGCCTGCCTTGAAACTGTACTTTTAAAATAATTGTATCTGCTATGTCTTTCACATCCCTGGCCCATGACGGGCCTAACATCACCTGTTAGACCTGTGTGCCTCAATTCTCATATTTACGTAATTACCATAATATTTCCTTTTGATGTTTTGAAATGTTCAGAACTGTCATAACACTAGATTTCTTCTGCGATAACTTTGTTTATTTTCTGTTTTCAGTCACTGCTGACTGCCCTCAGCTTTTGTATTTGAAGTGTGTATTTGAAGAAGAGAGTAGTTGAAGTTAACTTGCAGAAAATGCTAAATGGAAAGGAAAACAAATATAATGAAACACAGTTTGTCACTTCAAATGCCTTTCAGTTTGTAGAAATTTTCATCAGGCATACCAGTTCTGTTTCTTTAGTATTATACTTGTGACTGAAAAGCCTCAGAGTATCCTATTCATGTGCCTCATGTAATTCGTTTTATTTATCAAGTCAGATCTGCTGCCCTTGAATGAGTGAATTGGAAAGAGAAATAAACTTGTAGCACATTGAATGCTGCTATACACTTCAGTCATAAGATAGCTTTTGCTGAGGCACGTGTGTAGCTTCAAATGTCTAGGCTTCTCCAAATCTAGCTATTACCTAGCTTTAGTGATCTTGATGCAGCTTTGGAAGGCAAAGTAAATTTGATGGCATGTATAATTGATGGCAGGAAATTGTTTTGTAGAGAAATGTTATGCCTTAACCACACTAAGGAAAGAACACAATCTGTAACCCTTTATTTCCCACTCCTTAAAAGTTTGTGTTTTTCTGTTTGCATAGAGAAGGCAAAGGTGCACCCGGTCTGACTTCATCTGATTTTTTAGCAGATAACTTGGCTGTGATGTCATGGTGCCACTATTGCTGAACACCAATGTATTCCGAGCTTGATTGAATAGCATTTGAACTGTGGTTATTAGTAGTCTTGTGGCAGAATTCCAAAAGTGAGTGAAGATAGTTGACCTTTGACTTGCAATTGTAAAACAGCTGAGTGAAGAGGAAAAGTGATTGGCCTTTTCTTTTGTGGGCAGTATATCATAAAAGCTGCTTCTATGGTTTTTACATCTCTGGTAGTACGCTGGATCCTTATGCTGGTTTATTCTAATGATTCTATAGCAGAGCATGGTGTTGCCATTCAGGAGGTAAAAACTGACAGCTTTCTTCAAGCTGCTTTAATGTTTGAAATGCTACTTGCCTTGCCTTTCCCAGAGGAAAGAAGGGTTGCTGTTTCCTTCTGTGTCCTCTGGTTACAGTACAGAGCTGCAGTTCTCAAGTTCACCATTCTTTTCATGAACTAGTGGCTGCTTCATAAAACTTGGTGTCTGGCATCCTGTCAAGTGTGTGAGGATGGCCTGTGTCATTATTAACAGCAACAGAAGTTTGAAGAATTCCTACTTGGAAGTTTTGATCACTGTTTTTCACTATGAGTAGTTAACAGTGTTCATGGTGCTTTTTCAGTCTTTTCTCAGTTCACTTGCTGTATTTATTGAGACTTGGTAACTTCAGTTTCTATCTATATTTGTTATTCAAGCTCTGAGTACCCAAAACCTTATGTATTTCTAGCAACTTCTGGTTTTCTTGGCCTTTGTGTTAACTGGAAAGTATCCAGACCTGAAGTCTGCTGATGTTTGCTGGTGGTTTGGTAGGAGTAAAGTGGGAAGAATAGAAAAACTCAAATACAACCAGCCAAGGCCTCTCTTTCTCTGTTCTTCCTATATCCAATCTGAAGTATACAGTTTAATATGAAGCTATTCTGCTAACTATTTCTGAAATAGTAGTATGAAATAACTAACTGTACTAATGAATATCTTGAATGTTAGAGTTGTTTAAAACAAAATAAAATAGGCTGCTGCTGTTTCCTCTTTTTCCTTCTTCTTTCCCAGAGCTGGGGCATAGCTGGAAAGTGATCTTCTGAAGAAGCAAATTAGTTCCTGTTTTCAGTGGTTCTCAGCAAAATTGAAGAGTACTTACTGATTATTTTTGAATAAAATTATTTGGATGGCAGCCTTTTGTCTTTAATTTTGAGGTTTTTACTTTTGTATGACACACAAACCAGCTTTCCTGGATCCCTGGAATTCTAATTTTGATCACTGACAGCACCGTTCAGCAAAACCAGGGTTTCTTTTTCTACTCTAAATCTACACTTGACAGTTACCTCAAGGTTCTGTTCATGTGACTGTTTAACAATTGACTTATTTTTAACTCTTGCATGCTGTGTGCTACCTGAAGCCTTTTGGCCTATAAGTGTTTCAGTTTGTATATGAAATAGTTAAGTGTTAGTTCCCTAACGACACTTAAAATCTCACGCTGAGCAAAAAGGAAGCGGTGCATTGTAACAATTCATCTTGTTCTTCCAGTTTAGATTAATTCACCAAACTACTAAAGGCAACATTAGTATGTTTTCACAATCACTGTGATACTGAACTGTTATATTATTTTAAGGTTATTATACTTATGCTGTCAGTTTTCCATATTTGCTGACTGCCTCTGAATGAAAATCTTTGCTTTTGTTAATGATTTTATTTATATATGCTGGAAGCTTTGAAAAATCAGAAGTAGTTATGGGATCATAACGATAAACTCCTTTGGTAGGGGAAGGAAAAAAGAAAAAGCAATATACTTAAGGCCCTGTACGTAAAGGGTACCAGCAGAGTATTTGTCATCTTATGTGGACTGATCATGAGAATTAATTTTGCTTGAGTTTTTCCTGTGTATACACTGCTTCGTGTTTCTTCTGGTCTGTGGTGCTGAATTGCAGGTTTGACAGCAGAACAGAGATAAAGCATTAGCAGAACTGAGGGCAGGTGTTGTAGCCATCTGCACAAAGGATTGTGGACTTTGGATGAATTCTTAGCCTGTGCTTATTTCTGTCTGTCAAGGGTACAATGCCTTGGTGTTCAAGCTAGCTCCTATGAAGGTGATGATTAACAAGATGCGTGATAAAGAATATTCCCCTTCTCCCCACCTGTCCCTGCTCCCTTCATTCAGTAGTGTTGGGAAAGGTGCTAACTAAAGGTGAAGGTGAGACTTCTGAATTTGATGTTTAGGTACAAAGGAGAGTAAAGAGTACTGTTCTTTTGAACACTAACATTTATGAACTAGAAATTGAACTTGTGTGTAATAATCCATTTTACCAGAGCACTAGTGAAAAGTGGCACTAGGTTTTAGTGCTTTTTTTTTTTCCTGCCTTCATCTGTTAGGAAAGCTGCCTTCAGTCTATGCCATTTCCAGTTTTCTCTTAAAAGTTCAAAATACAGATGAGTAGTGAATTGTATGCGTTCTGCATTTCTACGCAGAGCAGCAAACTGATACTGCTGCACTTTGATGCACAGGATCTTATCTGCAGCTTTGTCCTGCAGCAGTTTTCATTCTTTCATTTCCTTTGCTGGCTCTGCAGTGGCAATTACCAAACATTCGCTTCCAAGCTGGGCTAGCATCACTGACTAGAATATAGACAAGGAAATAAAAATGTGTTTTACATACTTCAGATTTTTGGAGAAAAGAAAGGCAGGAAGATACTTCCTGTGGCTTTTCTCATTACCTACAGTGTAGGAAACACTGTATAAATTTATTCCTTTCAAATATATGTATCTTTTTAGAGAAACATCACTGCCAATCTCCATCTGTCACGCCTCAAGCTGCGTTCCGTTGGTCAGGATCTAGGCAATTTTCTGCTGAATATGTAAATGCTGATAGTGAGCGATATATGCTTAACTTAAAATCATCTTGTGGCACCTCACAAGGGTAGGTGTTCAGGTGGAGCAGAAAAATGGCTATGAAACAGCCTGTATGTGTTGGAGCCTGAGCTTGTTCTCATGTAT